GAATAAGGGCCATGGTTTAAAAAATAATAATAAAAAAAATCAGAAGTCTGTCTTTTTCTTAGAATTCTTAAAAAAATAATTTTGAGGAAATGTAGAAAAAGCTACTTTACATAAAAAAAACAAGAATGAAACTATTTTTGAAGGAGATGTGAAACAGTACAGTCATATTTAAAACCAAATCATTACATTTTCTGTTTATTATAGAGCTGTGCTGACTGAGTCTCACTGTTTAAATACAAAGTAAGGTTTGCTGTGTGTGTGAAAAAAAAATACATTAGTTCAGCGTTTGTTTCCTTTAGGCTTTTAAGCTGCACAAGTGGTCTTTATTTAAGTAGACAGAAAATTTACAGTTGCCCTGTTTATTTAAGCTGTTAGAAACAATTTATGCAGTATAGGTTCTGCACTTGACTGTAGGAAACCCAAGTCGAACGTTTTTTACTGATTTGTAATTTTTTATTTCTTAAAAAAATAAAGTGGGTTATTGTGATCTTTATTTAATTTGTTAGTAACAAGCCTGATAGGCTTCAGCTTCACTTGAGAAAACAGTACAAGAGAAAAGCCACATTTGTTTTTCCTGCTGAAAACCGAGGCGTCTTCTGATGTTTTGGAAAAACAAACACTAAGTTAACAGATTTCTTGAGTGTTCTGCACACAAACAAACACAGCGAAAAGGATTTTATGATTTCACTGAGATGACACGGGTGTTCTATGGAGCAAAGTGAGGAAATAAACAAAAAGCAGACACGCTACTTCTAWATCTTCTGCAGTCTTTTGCATACAGCTATAATTGACGAGAGAAAAAAAGTGTCTTGTGCTGTATTTTTTAAAATTTTGAATATGATGAAACTTACATCGATGTTTGTGTTTTAATGCCTGAAAACACATTTCTTGATGGGKTTTTTTTTTGTACTTTTTGCTGAAATGAACATTGAAACAATGAAATTGATCGCCTTATACACAGTGATAATGTTCAGCACGGATTGGCTATTTTTAACGGTCTCCTATTYCATTGTAAATTTGACTTAGTGCCACAGTCAATGTGTGAAAAACATTCATCATTCTAAAACTCTCTTGTTGAAAAATGGGGACAGCATTAACACTAGAGCTTTAAATATCTGTAGTCTGAGGCCAAAACACATGATGAGCAGCATGTGGCATCGCTCTCTCCTTGGGAGGGCARTTATTCAGCCAAACACACTGCAGGTTGGTGGCTCAGGCAAAATAATCATTATGACTCCTCAAACACAACTGGTAGGCTGCTTGTATTGTGYCCCTTAAATGAGTTTGCAAGTTTTTATTTCAAGCTGTTGCCAGTCTGAAAACTTTGATTCTTAAAGGATCTATTAAACACTTTGTTTAAAAAAAAGCTGTGCAAAGGTGATTGCATTATAAATGGATTTCAAAATGKTTTATAAACATCCTATCAACAGGTTAAACTGATTCTTGACAGATTTCACCTCCTTTCATTGCRGTTCAGCAGATTTTTATACATAATATAGATATATGTATTGAYCTGATGTGATTACGTACCCTACTGGGTAATCCCATCAACACAACACCCTAATTCATAACAAATCTTTAAACTATGTTTTCAAAAGGTTATTTGTACACAGTGATTAAAGACAAAATTTAAAGAAAGTAGCTTAGTTTTTTATGTATGTGTGTGTACATATTCACAGTTAAACCATAGTCTTTCTACATTTCCGAGTAGTTCAGACACATTAGTTGTTACTGTAGCAAGAAGCAAATAAAATAATAAAATCTCAAAAATCTGTATTCAGCTAATTAGCTTTTTTTTTTTCCAAAATCAAGCAGAATTAAAGGCTTAGTGTGCATTAAAGAAATCATAGTTCGTGTCGACTTTCATGCAAGTGTTTAAATAAAACTAAGTTTYAGAATTGAATGCCTTTATTGTCATTACACGCCTGCATAACGAGATTAGAGCCACTCCCACAGCAGTGCAAATACACATTAAAAGAAATAGAAAAGAATAAAAGAATAAAATGAGTGTATTATTATGAGTGTAATATGTGTATGCCTATACATCTGCATGTATACATACACGTATACATGTACATGCATATACCTACATACAATGATAAGGACTTGATAAAGCGCTCGATAAGTTCAGTCCATTTACCATAAAAAAAGCACAATGAGAGACTCAGTCTTATGTTGAGAAATGATGAAGTTATATACATTTTTGTCAAATCCTGAAATTAAAGTTATACATCTTTTAATGCAACATCACAGAATATCATGTTCAGACTATGTGTTAGGAATGACTCTCAGCTACCACCACCATATAAAAGTCTAGCTCAGAATCTCTCAAATTGATTGGATGAAAAATAAAAAAATTGTATAGGTCTTCTGGACGGGTTCTTCTCTAATGAAACGTTTCGTCTCTCCTCCAAGAGACTTCTTCAGTCTGAGAG